CCTTTCCCATTCACCAAGGCTTCTTCAACAATACCTTCCAAAACCATGACCACTTCCATCCAGAAGGATAGCAGATACATGGGAGCACCAGCACCTACAATTCCTTTCCAAGCCACTCACCCTCCAGACTTGGAAATATATAACCGTTCTTTCAGTGACACCTGGTCAAAATCCTTGAATTCTCTCCATTTTAGCACTATGGATGTACCTGCAGCAAATAGACTGCAACAGTTTGAGATGGTAGCTCCCCATTACCTACTCAAGGGCAGTTAGGGGTGGGCAATAAATGCTGGCCCAGCCAGCAATGCTCAGGGCCCATGAACAATTTTTTTAAAAATATTTCCCATGATCAAGTACCTCCTGGTCCAATAACTCCCTATAGCAGTAACCAGTACCTCCCACATGCACATACGTGCACATAATTGTACAGATGTTTTTTGACCCTTTCATGGGATGTGAGTGTCAGTGGCAAGACTAGCATTTGTAGCCCATCCTTAATTACTCCTTGAAGAGGTTGGAGCCTTTCTGTCTCAGAAGAAGAAAACTTTGGATAGGCTTGATAAGGTAGACACAGAGAAGATGTCATCACTAATGGGAAAGATCAGAAGAAAGATTCATAAGTATAAAATATTTCCATTCATAAATTCCATACGAAACCCAGACAGTGGTAAAAGTGACATTCACTGGTAGTCCATGGGCTGTTAGTTGTTAGACCCGCTGTGCTGGAGGGAAAGAGGGCCTCATGGCAGCATCATGACCCTCCATTTCCTCCACTCCCTTTTGCCAAGATCTCTGTGAGGTTCTTTGTTCAGAAACGGATATATATTTAGCGGGGAGACGTGGAATCAGAATTGCACACACTGTTAAACATGAATCCTTCATGATCGTTTTGCAGACTCTCTCTGCTGGTACATGTGTGTATGGTGGCCTCAAGTGAATAAAATGTGCAATGCCATTTTCAGTACACTACAGTCTCATCCTCAGTTAAGTGCTTAATGATGTCCATCTGTCTGTATATCCCCAATTTTAGTTGACTCACCATTGGTGCCTTAAGTTGCCCTGGCCTCAAGCATTAGAATTAGAATCAACTTTATTGCCACATGACTACAGTGAAAAGTTTACAAGTCACCACTTATGGCCCCAGCTTTGGTACAAAGTACCTAGGTACAAATTCTTCAGTACAAGTTCTTAGTGGAGAAAGAGAGGCGTGCATTGCCATAGCAACTTTTGCCTCCAGCAAACAACTCTGTAGGTCCCTCCTTATCCTTCCTGCCTCTCTACCTCCCACTCCAATAATCCTCTGTGTCAAACAGCATTCAACACTCCACCCACCTCCTTCATTCAATGGATGTTTTTTGATTCTTTCTATGGAGTGTCATCAGCAAGGCCAGATATGTAGCCTGTTCCCAGTTGCTCCTTGAAAAGTTGGGGGCCTTTCACTCTCAAAAGGAGAAAGAGAGAAAACTCTACCTAGTTAACCAACCTTTTGCTCACACAGCCTAATATCTCCTTACATGGCTCAGTGCCATACTTTGTTTTATAATGCTCCAGTGGAGTGGCACCTGATGTTTGATTACATTAATGCGGCTAAATATATATGTGATGTTAGAGACAACAAGGTGCAGAGCTGGATGAACACAGCAGGCCAAGCAGCATCATCGGAGCAGAAAGGCTGATGTTTCGGGCCTAGACCCTTCATCAGAAAAGCATATATGTGATGTTGTTCTGGTTGTCATCAGAAACTGGCCCAGGATGGTGAGTCGTTCTCCTGGAAATTTCCATCCACCCTATGGTCCTTAGTAAGCAATTTGTGCCATATTCTGATGGGGCCAAAATGTGACTGGTTGTGAATTGTAGCTTATTGCATTGCTACCAGTAGAGGCTGCTAGAGTGCTACAGCCAGCAACATCTTGTGGTTGGTCTAAGTAGGCGCTGTTGAAAGGCAACTTTCTGTTTCAGTCTCAAATCGCCGTTTCAGTCGAAGCAGATTGGCTTTTGTGGAAGTGGGGAAGGAGGGCACGAGGGCACGGGTCTATGATTGTTAACCAGTCTGATGTACTGATTCAATTAAGGGAGTCAGCGTTTGTGCTGTGAAGATTTTCATTGTTTTCAGTTCAGTAATTTGAACAGCTGAGGCTTTAATAAGAAAGCGACACAGGCTTTAGTGTGTTGCAAGAATCTGGAACAGAAAATGAAGATCTGGCACTTTTTTATATTTTAAAAATGCATTCGAGCTTAGTGGTAACACAGGCAAGTGCACTGGCTGACAGCTACAGCTTCAGAATGGCAGTGAGTGGGGAATCTCATTTGCCTTTTTTAAAATTTGTTCACGGGATGTGGGCATCACTGGCTAGGCCAGCATTTATTGCCCAGCAGGCAGTTAAAAGTCAATCACATTGGTGTGTGTCTGGAATCATATGCAGAGCAAACTATGTAATGATGGCAGATTTCATTCCCTAAAGAGCATTGCTGAACCAACCAGATGGAGATTTCCCCAACAATTTCATGGTCATCATTAAGTTCTTAAATCACAGATTTTTTTTTATATTTTGAAATCAAACTCTACCATCAGCCATGGTAGGAATTGAACCCAGACCTCTAGATTAATAGCCTCGTAATATTACCACTAGGGCATTTCCACCCCCGTACCCTGAGTTACGTTCTTCAGGCTTCTCAGTTTCCATTTTCAGCATCATCTTGATGCTCACATTTACTCAGCAAAGTCCAGAAAAGTACAAACCTCCAGAGTGATTCATTCACCTGATCATTATGTTTTTTTCATGAGGTCCTTCTCCAGTTGCATCAATGTTACTGGATCAAAATCCTGAAACTCCTTCCATCCCTCCATGTAGTGTGTGGGGTGTCCCTAGGGTCAGAAATCATGATCCTTCATCTGGTCCTGGCCCAACTGGGCTATGATATACCTATTGTCCCAGGTCATTTAAAACAAAAAGTTGTCAATGGGATGTGTATGTGTGACTGGCAAATGCTAGAGTCCACCATATTGCTGTGGGTTTGGAGTCACATGTAGACCAGGCCAGGTGAGGACAGCAGATTTTCTTCCGTGAAGGACATTAGTGAAATAGATAGATTTTTAGAATGATTCACTGTGGTTAGATGGTCACTGTTGGGCCAGCTTTTTTTAAAAATTGAATTCACATTTCATCATCTGCTATGGTGGGATTTGAACCCATGTCCTCCGAGCATTAGCCTGGGTTTCTGGATTATTAGTCCAATGACACCAACACTTCCCCACCTTGATTATGGCACTTGAAGAAGGTGGCTCACCATCATCTTCTCAAGGACAACCAGAGATGGGCTGAGCCAACAATATCAAATAAAAAGTAAAGTTCTGTGACTGTCCATCTATCTTCAGTAGCCCACCCAAGTGATTATTCCTTGTGTGTGAACCTAAATTGCGGGTATTAGCAAGGCTGTTTGACCATGGTGTGGAGAAGCATTGCAGTGGAGCTCAGCTCTGTTCTGACTCAGGACTGTATTGGGGAGTGAGAACCCTGATTGCTGATCTGTTTCACCATGTACATGTCTTGGTGGTTTAACCAGCTTACTCAATGCAAGGTTACAAACACAACCTACATGCCAATTGCGCAGAAGGGGTACAGCTCCCTCCCTTCTTGTTTCAAGGTGATACTCCCCGGACCTAACGCACCATGGCCCAGTGTGGATTCTATTACAGCTGTTCAAATACCCTACATTATAACAACTTACACAGAGATGGTGGGTCATGGTAATGTCACTGAATGAGCAGTCCAGGAGCCTAGCCTAATGCTCTGGGGATAAGGCTTCCAATGCCCTGGGGATAAGGGTTCCAATGCCCTGGGGATAAGGGTTCCAATGCCCTGAGGATAAGGCTTCCAATGCTCTGGGGATAAGGGTTCCAATCTTGCCATCACAGCTGGTGGAATCTAAGATTCAAGTAATAAATCTGAAATATGAAGCTAGTGATCATTAAACTATTGTTTAATGTGATTTGGTTCGCTGAACTGCCTTAAGGAGGGAAATCTGCCATCTTTATCTGGCCTGGACCAGATGTGATCACAACAATGTGGTTGACTCTTAACTGCCCTTTGAAATTGTCCAAACAAACCATACCATTTAATTAGGGATGGCTTACAAATTCTGGCCTTACTAGTGATGCTGTATTCCACAATAGAATTTTAAAAATGCTGCCACCCACTCTTAAGTTTTCTCTGTTGGTAAATGGAATTCCAGGCACTTGTATGATGCTACCTTCTTCCTTGCTTCCTGCATGTAGATAGGAGGCAAAATGCATTCTTACACTAGCTTCCTTGGCCTGCTTTTTTTTCCAGAACAGGCTGTAAACCTGAAGCCAGAGGTTCTCATTTCGAGGGAGCCAGCCTAACTTGGCTGGCCAGGAGTCACTGCTGCATTTATCGCAGGCATGCTATTGAGAGATTTGTCAGTTGACAATCAATCTGAGATTTTGTTTTAATCAGGAAGGGAATCGAGAGTTTTAGGGAAAAGGCAGGAAAGTGAATTTGAGGATCGTCAGAATAGTGGAGCAGACTCAATAGGCTGAACGATCTATTTCTTCTCCTACATCTTATGGTTTTAATCTGTTGTGAAGCAGCTTTTGATAGTGTCTGTATCCTATGAAAGAATAAAGATTGGCCAGGAAAGTAGCTTCATGAGGTCGGCAGAAACACTATCGAGATACAAACTCTTTCTCCAGGCAATGCCAGCTTTCCCTCCGAAAAGAAAGTATTATAAATAGCAGTCTGTAGTCAGAGAAAGGAGAAAGATGGTGTAATCTTGGTATAAGTAGTCTAATCTGCAATTCACTGTTTCCCACCCACTTCTTCTCTGAGGTTTTGATATTTTTGGCAATATTTTCAGCTCAGCTGAAAAGAGAGTCGAGGACGATTTGAATCCTTCGTGCCAACATCAAGTCAAAAATCCCACAATGATGTATTCTGGGATACTTGGCTGCCTCACTAAAGTTGTTCTCTTTCCCCCAGGAGAAAGCTGATCTGGGTGAGATAAACTTCTCGTTGTGCTATCTCCCGACGGCAGGCAGACTCACAATCACCATTATCAAAGCTACCAATCTAAAGGCGATGGATTTAACCGGATTTTCAGGTAATTTCACCACTGCACGCAGATGGCATACAAAGGGTCCCCATTTTCCGTGAACCTCTAATCGATTTTTGCGTCTTTTGCCCTCTTCCCCAATGACCTCTGCCCTCTGCTGCCCCCTCGTTCTAGACTCCCCCACTTTCAGTATCCACCCTGTTAGTTCATCACAGGATCTTCTGAGTTTCATTGAGGCCACCTTTCTTTCTCCAAAACTCAGTGAGTACAGGCCCAACCTGCTCAACCTTTCCTTCACCGTAGGAACCACCCTAGGAACCCTAATGAATTGCTTCCAGTACCTCATTAGAAAGGCTCATGGAATGTTGGCCTTTATCACAACAGGATTGGAGTGATGGAGTAGTGAAGCCTTGCTTCAATTGTACAAAATCGTGTTTAGCTACTGGGGCACCTGTGTGAATTAATGGTCTCCTTACCTGAGAAAAGATATTATTTTTATCAAAGAGCGGGTACAATGTAGGTTGATCACACTTGTTCCTCGGGTGGCAGACTATCGTATGGAGAGAGTTTGTGTCTGTATTCTCTAGTGTTTTGAAGGATGAGAGGTAATCTTGTTAAAACCTACAAAATGCTTAAAGAGCTAGGAACAGTAGGTCCGAGTAAGATGTTTCCCTTGTTTGGGGAGTCGAGAATCAGTGGAACAATTTCAAAATAAAGGGAAGCCAATTTATACTAAGATGACAATTTGTTTTCACTCAGACGGTTGTGAATCTGGAATTCTGTACCCAAGAGGGCTCTGGAAACTCTTTATCTTTACAGATTTCTAAACCCTAATGATGCAAAGGGCTATGGGGATAGTGTGGGACAAAAGGCATTAAAGTGGATGATCAGCCCATGGTCCTAATCAATGGCAAAGCAAATTCAACAGGTTGAATAGCCTACTTCCTCATCTATGCTTCTATAATCTAGGTGTTGGTCTCGTCAATGTCCTTTACAGTTGTAGGAATGATGTGGAGGTACAGGTGTTGGACTGGGGCGCACAAAGTCGAAGTAACATGACACCAGGTTATAGCCCAACAGGTTTATTTGAAATTGCAAGCGTTTGGAGCATAGTCCCTTTGTCAGGTTACGAAGGGGCAACACTCCAAAAGCTTGTGATTTCAAATAAGCCAGTTGGACTTCTGACAGTTGTAGGAAGACTTCCCTACTATTTATATTCCATACCCACTTGCAATTAAAGTCAACACCCATTTGTCTTCCTAATTACCTGCAGAGCCTACATGCTAGCATTTTGTGATTCATGTACAATGACATGCAGTTTCCTGTTACCACAGCATTTTGCAGTCTTGTGCCATTTAAATAATAATCTGATTTCCTAATGTTGTTGCCAAACAGATGCTGTCAGTTCTCCTGGTACCTCAACCAAAGTGACCCTGTGTGAGCTTAGACCGGGTGTATTAGTTGGTCCTTGCAGGCCAAAGCCCTGACCCCTGCATATAGTCCCAATTGAGCAGAGGGCTTATATAAGAAATGAAGAAAAACCTCTCTCATAAAATAGCCATAGATTCTGCATGGAGTTCTCAATTAAGTTGATACATCCTTGTTGGCCAAGGGTATTAAGGGAAATGAACAAAAGGGCAGATCAATGGAGTTGAAGTCCAGATTGACTTTGGTTCAAATTAATTTGAAAAAGACTAAAGGGGCTGAATGGCCTGCTCCTATAGTTTCCATTCAGGGACAGACACTTCACTTTTTCAATTTCACCCTTCCCGATCTGAAGGTGCTGAGGCTAATTATTAACAATGTTGATTTATCAATGCAGGCAAGGAGTAGCATGTGGAATTGCAGGATGAGCCCCATATTAGGACGTTAGAGGGCATCAGAAATTGGCAGAATTTTTTGGGGGGTTTGGATGCTGTGTGGGGTAGGGGTGAATACCCGGCAGAATGCCAAGCAATGCTAGGCTCTGGCTTGACTGTCATCCAACCCACCATCCCTCCCTCTCTGTTTGCAGATCCCTATGTGAAAGCTTCACTGATCTGCGAGGGGAGGCGTCTGAAGAAGCGGAAGACGTCGATAAAAAAGAATACATTGAACCCAGTATACAATGAAGCCCTGGTGTTTGACATTCCCAATGAGAACATGGACCACGTCAATGTCATCATTGCCGTCATGGACTACGACTGGTGAGAAACTCTTCAAACAAACCAGGGATGGGGATGGGAGGGGCCTGTGTGAGGATTCAGTGATATCATCTACCTTTCTGTGCATTTGTATGTGCACACATGACAGTGTTTCCTCAAGGTGAGCTGTTTGGTTTGGTTGGCTGAATGGCTGGCATGCAGTGCAGTGTGACTCCAACAGTGTGGGGTCAATTCCCGTCCCAGCTGAGGTTACGATGAAGGACTCTCTTTCTGTAATGAGACAGCTGGATTATGGCATCTTCATCATTAATCACACACATCCAACAAATCTTTTCAGTTTGTACACAATGTGCTGGTACCTGTGTAATATGAGTACAATGTCTGACTGATACAGTCATGATACTCAGGAACAAATGCCAAGGAACTGGAGGGGATTACAATACATTCCAGAACAATGCTGAGATTCCAAGGGATAAATTACGAAGGGAGATTATGCAGGCGAGGTTGGTTTGCATGTGGAGCGTTGGACAAGGCACACAAATAAAAGCTGTTCTTGTTAGCTGGTCATGCAAGGAATAGGAGGCACAGATTCAAGGCTGTGGGCAAGACATAAAGGGGCTAACTTAAGTGGAAAAGGCCTGGAACACAATGCTCACAAGAGAGTTGGAAGCTGAGACCATCAGTGATTTCAAAATGAAATAAAGTGGACAATAAGTCTTGTAGGGCAGAGGCAATAAGACTATATTGATCAACGGCATGCCAAGTCAGTCAAGAGGTCTCATTTTCTGCCATGTCTCTGTTTTCAATGTAAATTAAGTCAATCAGAGAATGAGTCAGTATTCAGGGTGTGAGCCTTCAGAGTTTCAACCATCTCCAGGGATGATTCTCTATGTGAGACTCCCAGCCAGCAATGGCACTGGTTGTGGAATCTTAAGCACATGGTGCTAAGACCAACCCATGCCATTGGTGCCATTCCTCATGGGGAATTGGCCCCTTTTTGGAATTGGCCCCTTAGGTGTCAACCTGCTATTTCCCTCAGGCAGCCCTAATTTAGCTGCTGTGTGCATTTCCAGCATTTTCTGCCCTCCATTTACAAGTTGCTTCCTGTTATTGCCTTGTATTCAGGGAGAGTGAGAAAGGACATTAGCAGGGGTAAGGCAAACAGTGCCCATCCAACTAAGGAGGCAACACCCTAATAAGAGTTTCAATGGCCTTGTGATGACTAGAAACCTGCTGCATACATAAATACTGTGACTACAAAAGCAGCTCAGAATGTGGTACATTCCATAGTGATCGCCTGACTCCCCAGAGTCTTTCCATCATCGTTAAGCCAGAAGTTAAAAGGTTAGTCCCTGACATATCTGGATGAGGAAACCTCCAACAATACATGAGAAACTTGACACTGTTCAAGACAACAAGAGCTCCATTTAATGGCACCTCATTCATCACCTTAAACATTCATTCCCTCCAATACTGGCACACACAGTGCAAAATGCACAACAGGAACGTGCAAAGCCTCTTTTGACAGTGTCTCCCCAACCTGAAACGTATACCACTCAGAAGGACAAGGGCTTCAGATACATGGGAACACCACCACCTACAACTCTCTTCCAAAACCACACACCATCCTGAATTGAAAATGTGACTATCACATCAGCCAACAACTGTGGGCAGAAAGGATTAATCTTCAGGGTGTGGGACTTCAGAATCCCTAAATCCCCAGGGCTTATTCTCCAAGTGGGCCTGTTCCTTCATTGTCGCTGGGTCAGAATCCCACAATGTCCTCCACAGCAGTGGTTCAAGAACGCTGCTCACTACCACCTTCTCAAAGACAATCCCATTACACCAGCTGGCAGAACGAAATTTATTTAATAAATCTGAAATATAAAGCTAGTTTTAGTTATGGTGACCACATCAACTATCACCAATGGTTGTAATAACCCATTGTGTTCACTAATGTCCTTTCACAAAGGAATCTGCTTACCCAATCAGGGCCACACATGACCTCAGATACACAGCATTGAGGTTAACCTTTAACTGATGCTGGAACTAGCAATTCAAGGGCTATTCAGGATGGGCAACAGATACTGGCTTTGCCAGTGACGGCAATGTCCCATGAAAACATAAAGACAACTTCCTGACATATTTTTAATATAGTGAGGGGGATGTCTAATTGAAATTATGGAGCAGAACAATTTACTTACAATGGGCAATTGTGATTTTCACAAAGAAGATGATGTATGGTGAAGACGATTTTCTGAAAGGTGTTTGGATGAATTTCTGGAACAAAATGTTTAGAACTGAATAGGGAACAGCCATTACTCAAATTTAGCCTTGCATAATGAGCCAGAACTAGTTGACAATCTGGGAATAAGGAAACATCTTAGAAATAGTGACCATAATAAAATTTGATATTGGGTATTGATGGAAGATGATAAACCAGGACTTCACATTTAACATGAGGCAAATTTCAAAGGGGCAAGGAATAAATTGATTGCAGCAAGCTAATATGTTAGTAAGTAAATCTATAGATTTACAATGAGGAATATTCAAAGAGTTTTTTGGATACAGCACAAAGCAGTATTTAGCTCTGCCAGGCAAATCTTTCACTGGCGCAGCAAAGCAAGCCAGGTCATCAAATGAAGTAACAGACAGTATCAAATGAAAGGCTGCACACAAGAACAAGGAGTGGGAGAATGCCAACAGATTGAGACAGCAACAAAAAAAGTACAAAGAAATACAAAAAAGGAAAATGATAAAAGTTTGCAAGCTATATTGAAACAAATAGCAAAAATCTATGAAATAAGATTGAGACAAGGAATGGTAAACATGATTGCAGGCCCAGGAGATATTATAATGGACAGTAATAAAACAGTAGACTCATTGACAAAAGAGCATGATGTATCCATTTTACAATACAGGTGAGTGATAAGTAATGCTGGTATAAGGGAAACAAAAAGTAAGTGGAGGGGAGAAATTCTTTGAATGTAATGGAAGCACAAGAATGGAGAAAATAATGGGACTTAAGTTAGACAGTTGTCTGGTGTAGTGATTGTAACAAGGTCAGCCACGTGGACCTCACAGAATATGAGTTCCCTGATTGGGGCTGTTAACCTGCTCCAATCAGGGAGCCCTGGCTGACAGATATAAACAGGAGTGTCAGGGGTTCTCTTCACTCTGAATGCTGGCTCTGAGGGAGCCAGATCAGTGTCAAGAACTCTCCACATGTAAATAATGGGTGACTTGGTGATGGGATACTGGCCTCTGTGGGGTTGCTTCATCCAGGACAAGCTCTGGGCACTTTACCTCAATATACTGGCCTTGGAGGGAATGCAGAGCAAACCAACTGGACTAATATTAGAGTTTCAAGGGTTAATTTATGAGGACAAGTTGCTTAAACTTGGCCTTTACTACCTAGACTTCAGTAAGTCGGGTGCAAAAGGGTACAAGAAGATTTGGACAGACTAGTTACAGGGATCTTATTACCCTGAAATTCGAAACTATGGGTGTGTAATCTTAACATTATAGACTGCCAGTTGAGCAGTGAAATCAGGAAGCACTTATTTTACACACGGATGGTTAAGGGAATGTGAAACCTTCTTCCTGAAGAAGCTCGGGAGTCAATAAAAATCTTCAAGACTGAAATCAATACATTTTTGTTAAGTAAAGGGATGGAGGGATATGATCAATGATGGATGGATACAGTTGGCGTATGGTCTAACCATGATATAATAGAATGATGGAATAGGGTCAAGAAGTAAGTCTTGTTACCAGTTTTTGGAAGAAGGTGTCGGCCCTGTGTTTGGTAATACAAATCCTGAGCATTGCTGAAATGTTAGATGTGTTATCAGAGCTTTTCATCTTGTACTCATCAGGACAAAAAAAAAAGCCAAATTTCAAAAGATCACAACAGTTGATAAAAGCAAACAAGATTATGGGCCAAGTACTTGAAAACGGGATTAGAATAGGTAGATACTTGGTGACTGGCACAGATGCAATGAGCTGAAGGGCCTTATTCTATGCTGTAAAATCTTGATAATTCAACTACAGGAAAAGATGTGCACAGGTTCACCTTGAATGGCTGATGTGTTGACAAGGAGAACGCATTGAACTTTAAAGCTTTATCTTTTCATAAAAAATTGGCCAATTCATGCAATCTTACATTTATCCTGATCAAAAGCTTCATCAACATCTCTCTGTTTCTGTGAATGCGTAGGCTGGTGGTTTAGGAGCTTAGAAGGACCAAGGGAATTAGAATTAGAATTAGGTTTTATAGTCACATGTGCTCAAATACAGGAATACATGAGTACAGGAAAAGTGTACCAAGTCGCCAGTTCTGGCACCATCTTAGGTACAAAGATACTTAGGGACAAAATCTTAGGTATAAATTTTAAAACATGAAAGAATAAAGTTAAAAGATCAGCATTGCAGTCCTTATAAAGCTAAATTCAAAGTTACAAAAGGTACAAAATCTTTGGTATAAATTAGAAAAATAAAGAAATAAAGGTAAAAGTTCAGCATTGCAGTCTTTCTAAAGCAGGAATCAATGCTGGGCTTCCTCAAGGCCAGGGGCCTTCAAGTCCACGCTGATTCTTCATCGCTGATGCCATCCAAGGATTGGTGGTAAGTAGAGAGGAAAAAAAAGAAGAAAAAGGGAAAAGAACACAAATAGAGGAAACAGAAGGAAACAAACAGACAGTGCGGACAAGCTCTGGCTTAGGAGTTCTTCTCCACCATGTTGAGTGTGAAGTTCAGAGGAGTACTGACCGAGTGCTGATGTTACAAGAGGGAAGAATAAAGAGAATGAGTGAGACAGGGGGACAGATAAACAAAGATGACAGGCCCTTGAACTCTGAGGTATGGCTATTAAAACCCTTGGGGGTCAGCAACAGGGTGGGAGGTATTCGGGCTCTGTGTCTGTACACTCCCATTCACCTGGCTGGCCGCATTCTTCTTTGTTCTTTTTATTTGTTTTGTTTTTTCATTTTTCTTTTGTATCAAAGTTCACCTTTTCTTCTTCCTCGCGGCTGTGGTGGAAGAAGGCAG